ATAAACAACTAAAAACATTGTTGTATTAAAGGAAAACATTTTACTTTCACATTTCAAATAAAATACATACACAAACCCAACCCTCCCCTAAACATGACATCAAATTAAACTTACATCCACATTCTTGCCATGATCCCATTTGTCCAGAGTCTGTATGAGTTAGCAGAGGCTTAGATAAGATGCTGGTGCCTTACCCTTTATATTCCCACAGCTGTGATAAAACTAGCTTGACTTAAACAAAACATTTATATGAACATAAAAGGACAGACAAACTGACTTTTTTTTTTCCAAACGCCACCTGTAGGACAGTTAGCAGGAGAGGTTTCAGAGCATGTCACAAAGGTTTTTTTGAGTGCAAAAAAAAAACAAACAATGTAGATATTTTGATTTTGAAGCTTTCTGAAACTGGTTTGCAGGCAAATCACATGGATACCTCCAACAACCACACATTCCTTTTGTACAGCCTCATCCTCAGGATGGCAAATCAAAAAAACATTAATGAAAAAACTCAAACACAAAAAACATCTTGTACACAGAATGTCCAGCCAAAGTTTGTGACGAAACAAAAACACTCTTTAACACAGCCAAACACATTCTAGATCCTTCATTCCTATACAATTCAAAGCTTTAAAATGCTAAGTCTTTAAACATGCAACACCACTGAGAGTTCCTATCGAATTTCTGCTGTGCTAGACTCATGGTTAACTTTCTCAGACACCAACATATCTAACTATCTAACTAACTAAAACTAGAACTATACGCTACAACCTACCAAAGTTGTCTGAGGGACCATTTCCCAAATACTTTTAAGGACACTGATGTCAGAAAAGAAGATGCGCATTCATAATATGAAAAACAATTCCCTGTCAGAGTATCCATATAAAGCACTTGCGTAGCGTAGTGTGTGCTCTTCCCTTTTCTCTGGCACAGACACAGCCCGGTAGTGAGACAATCTGTGAGATAATGCAGCACAGTGGAGACTGGGGACAAAAGCAGCTATGGCAAAAAAAACTGTACTGTTTTTTTGGAAATGTCCTTGAGACCAATGTGACACTAATGATGCCATGCAGCTGTGATGGAATTTTTTTGTCATTTGCAAAACCCCTGGAAATCTGACACTGCTCCAGGTCGGTGAGGAAGATTTAACCCTAACTTGTCCAAACAACTTCACTTAAGCTTTCTCCATTCAGGAATTATTTTGACTTTTGGGTTGCTGGCATGAATATACCAAGACACGCCGCTCCCTGCATACAGATTGTTGTTTAGTGACAGGGATACGGAAGGCAATATTTTTACATCTCATCTGACACTGTTCAGTAAATATAATTGTGCAATAGCCTTTCACTCAGAAATGCTTTGTTTTATGACACCAAAACCTACACCCTCTTAGTGTAATGTCTTTCTCATTGAGAGTTACTCTACATTGTCCCTAATCAATAGTCTTAAAGCCTTTACTACATGCAGATACAAGCATTACAGACAGTGACAAAGATGTAGGGCCTGAGCTGCGGTGCACTTTTAGTAACATTCCTAATGCAGAAAAATTAGGTTTTTAGTCTTAACATTTCAAAAAGATTTACACGTCAACTCGATGCTGTAACTATAAACAGCACAGTAGGAAAATCCAGCATCATTAGTACCTTTACGCTTGCACATTACATAATGGCTACATGCAGCCATACAATTTAAAGCTACTGTCTGACCAACTGTTTAAAGCCTTTGACAGACTGAAATGTTTTGAACATCTTGTGCAACTAAAATCTGCAATGGACCTGATTTTTTTAAGGTGTCTACAACATTTTGAGAATTCTACACTTATATTGTACAGTGGCTATAATTTCAACTGATGTACATACAGACAGTGATTTGTTTTAATGTTTGGATTTACACAAGAGCTGAGCGCATCAATCTGTCTGTATTATATATGGTAGTTTTGTTCCACTCTTAAGGGATAAACTCCGTATTAACTAATACATGTTTGAGAGTGAAAATGGCAAAAGTAAAAGCCTTAGAAGATGTATGTCACAGATATGATGTACATGACGACTTTACCATAAAACTGGTACATTAAACTGGAATAAATGTATCTTGAGGGACATAAGGCTTTCATTCTTCTCACATAATTATAATAATACCAGGCTTTTCAATATGTACTCTCTGGATAGTGTGTAATGGTCTGATTTGAAGTCTGGTCATACTGACAAATATAAAATGTCAGAGGTGCTTCATATTTATCAGAAGCAAAAGATGAACAAAACTGATCAGTCTGCAGAAAGTTTAAGATTGGATTAAAAAATTTTACTGTAGTAATACCGTATACCTAAAAATCATCTGAAAGGTACAATATGGTGAAGACAACTCAATGCATTTTCAAACTAAACAGGTTTGATGTTAATAATATTTCTACTGGCCCTACCTTAATGCAAATAAAAATATCTATTCCATTTGCACAACTGTATGTCGACTTGACAATACATCCCAATAAATGCGTAACGTGTAATGTGTAATGTAGGTCCATGAAACTTGATAGTTACTTTTTACTCAATGTTTTTGCCATGAAAAATGTTTGTGGAAGAAGAGCCTTTTAAAATCAGTTTAAAAAAAAGTGTGGAATGGAGGACTTAACAGTGACAGTGTCACATGGACAGAAACAAGAGCCACCAGAGCCAGTTGTTTTAAATTTATGGTTGTCTGTAAATCAGGTTTAAATGTCTGAACTGAACACAAAAGTGCAAAATTGCTACCGCTGTCCTGTATGTGTCCTCAGTAGTGCTTCTCCTGGAGATAATCTTTCATTTTGTTGGGTAAGGGCAGTTTCTGGATCAGGTCTATTCTTGTGTATTGTCTAATGACAAAACGACAAAGGTACTGCAGGGAGCGCACTTGCATAAACCGAGATACTGGGTTGGTTAGCCTGACAGGGTAGGTTGCAGACCCTGGTACGCGAGACCTGGAATAGCAAAAAGCTCCATTCTCTGAGTCTTTGATAGAGTGTTCTATTAAGTCCACAATAGACGTATGTCCCTCAACATCGGGCTGCTCATAGAAACTGAAGCGTCCATTGGAGTGTTCAATGCGGGTGTGCAGGGTTTTGCCCTGTGACCTGAAACTTAGGCTAAGCAGGTACCTGTCGTCTGAGCTGTCGCGCACTAGGAATGAGCCATCAGCCAAGTTAACAAGCTTTTCCTCTGCTTCCCAGCGTGTTATGGGCCCCCAGTACCAGCCCTGCCTTGCCAGCTTCTTCAGCTCCTCTGTCAGGCTGGTCACAACCATTGGCCCACTGCTTTGGACTGAATCATACACCCGACTGACCCCAGGAGCAGAGTTGGGGTCAAAGTTCAGGTGATGTCTTACCCTCTCAGCTACCTGGCTGTCCGTAGAGCTGAACCCTGAAAAAGTCCTTGGGATGTGTCCATTATTTGTCATGGGCGGCAGGAGTGGAGAGAGAGGAGGGGGAACCTCTACTCTTGAGCTTTGGAGCATCACACTAGCAGAACTGAGAAAACTATTAACTGAGGTTTCCATAAAAAGATCTGGAGGCATTCCACTAACCAGTTTGTGTTCATCCGGTCCCTGGTCTGTGTGGAGGGACCCAGTGTCTGCTTCAGCGACCACCTCCATGGGAGATGTGCTGTCCAGGCAGAATGAGTGGGAACCTTCTGGGTACATTCCCTCATCTAAAGGCATTGTGTACTGGATGTAGTCCTGGGGTGTCAACCCCAGTACCACAGGCACATCGTTTTCATCAATATTTAGATGCAGATCACCATTTTGTGGCTGCTGGAGATTCTTTAAGGATTCCGCTTGATCCTGAAAGAGCCCTTCCATCTGGAAATCATGAAACTCTTTCCGGACACCATTTAAACTGGGACTAGGGCTGGGTGAATGAACCATGGCTTTAACCTTCACCTCCATCTTAATGCACGAGTCGTCAGAGTTGACGGATCGCAAAGGCCATGGTGCAGGGCTATAATGGTGACTACGTAGGGATGCAGATCTGAGAGGCCGCTGGGCTTTCACCTCATTGAAGGTAATGGGCACAGAAGAGGATGAGAAGGTGTCATCATCATCAACAGAGCCTATGGCAGAAGAACCACCTTTTACTTTTGGCTTCTGCTTGGAAGAAAGTCTTCTCTTTAGAGATACCATCAGACCCTCACTTTTTGAGCGGCCCTTGTTTTGACCACCCTTGTCTTCTTCTCCGACAAGGTCACAGCTGGAGAGCTCTTTGGTGTAGCAGCCCCCAAAAAGTGACTCCTCCTTAGAAAACTCAGGTGTCACCGCAGACTGCTGGAGCATGACAAAGTCACCCTCCTCTTTGCCCTTTATGTTGAGGGACTTGCGGATGGTCTTAAGGCTTATTTTCTTCATTCTGGCAGGCCCTCCAACGTGGCGGCATGGGAAGTCTCTGTTGGTATCCTGATGAAAGTACTATCCACAGAGTCCTCCCATCAGGCCACACAAAACAAGTCATGCATACAATGGAAGCATCGAACCCTGTGTAAAGCAAAAATGGCAAGGTTCAGTCGTAGAATATAGTTGAAAAGAGAAATAACACAACATAATGCTTAGTCATCATTATAATACCATGATAGTAACACATGTCATGACTGATTATAATAGCTTTCAGGCTTAGACAGAATTAACATTTCAGTGATGTGTTAAAATAAGTTAAGGGTTAAGTTAGCCATTATGTTACTATAATTAATATGATAATAAAACCACTTCAGTAAACTGCACAATTTTGTAAAAACAGCAGGGATTTTGTGGAGAAACTATTTTCATAGATTTATTATTATCATAAATATTCGAAAAACAAAAAAGTATTCCTCTCAATGATTTAAATAATGTCACTTAATGCATTTCTGATTTGTGTTGAAGTCCTGACAGTGTCCTGCACAGTAGTATAGCAAATAACCTAAATGCTTAACCTCTATTAATTATCTTGTTAAAGCACATTTGTATTGTTTAACTGTTTTTATCTATAAGCTAGACATTAAAATCGGATTGCTGTGCAAAGGTTTGCGCTCTTGGCCCTGTTTTGCCTACAAAGCTGTTTTACTGCTGCGTGTTCAGAAACACTTCCCTATTGCACTGTGTTCATGGAAAAAAGGTTAGTTCCTCAATCTAAGTCCACTATAGAAAACAAACAACAAAAATGAAATAGCATTTTATGCGTGCAACACTAATGGACATTATTTGGTTAAAGTCAACATGTAATTAAATAAATTACTAACATATTTTAATTTGATAAATACACACTTGACAGTCCATGCAAACAATACTAATCCTGTATATATGGACTACAACATTCTATTTGATTTACAAAAAAAAATTCTAGTTAATCAAAAGAGCTCCAATTTTATTACTCACCATTATGTGCAGGAAAATGGTGACTCAGTTGGATGGGGTCAAGTTGCACTTCCACCACCTTTCATGTGATGCTGTGGAGGAAAACGCAAGCGCTGTTAGGCTCTGTTTAATTCAGACGTTAATCACCAAGACGGTTTTTTTTACAAAAATACTAATGTAGGAACACAATCAAACGCGGTGCCACTATTAAACCAAATTTACCAGGGTTTGGTCTGAGCTGGCAGGGCCTAGTGACAACAGCATGCATTAGCTTGGCTAAGAATGTAAGCATGCATGCCTTTAAAAATATACAGTAATAGCAGACAATTGAACCACAATTTACACGGTTGCACTTAGCTATCAAACAGTAAAAATGTAGGAAAAAGTATTACATTAATAACGTAGTTAATTTAATTAACCATCGTTTGCTTCAATGCTAAAAAGTCACAGCTAATAAACAGTGTTGTGGACAGCACATTTATTTCCCGTTAATATTTATAATACTGTAACTGTTTAAAGGGCAATCGATAAATTGTCTCTTACCCGGTCGTCCTTTTTTACAAAACAACCCAGCGACGGCGATATCGTTCCGGCGTATAAAAAACATTAAAGGTTCGTTTCTTGGCGTTTCTTGGCTAATGTTAGCTTCCTCGCTAAGCCACTTTGCTAGCTTTGTTAGCTTTTGTTGGTAAAAACATTGTCGGTACCTTCCTTATATCCACCTCTGCGTCCATACGAAAGGGTATAGCATTTGTATGCTCGGATAAGGTACAGTTCTCGTAAGGTATGCGTTTACTAAGGCGACCAGAGTGACACAACAAGGTGTCATCTCACAGCCTGGTTTGGCTAACACTTAGTAGCTCACGGCCTCTTCCTTTCTTCCTTTGTTGCCTGTTGAATTGTGGGAGCTTATTCAGATGCAGCGAATCAGACTCAGCACCGGCAACTGTACACTAGGTTTTACATCCACAGGAAGACAGAAGAAACACTGGCTACAAAAGTTCATCATGGCATAATAAGTCTGTAACAATGCAGTTATTACAACAATAGCTTAAGAAAAACCTTTATTACAATTTACAATGTTAATTACAACACAGTGTATGAAATATATCATTGTATTACAAATAGTTTACATGCAAATATAAATGTGTGAGGTTTAGTATTTTTATTATTTAAAAAAACAGAACTGAACAGGTTTATAAATGATTAGATGTTTAAAGTACAATCATATTTTTAAATAATGTTTCCATCATTGCAGGATGCTTTAAAAGTTAGATATATGTTTAAATATCTTTCAGTTATACTAATCCCAGTTTGTTTTTGTTTTATTTAAGAAATCAGGAACTTTCATCACTTTCATTCATTATTTTCAATCAAGCCATTCACTTTTTTCTGTGTAGTCTTCCAGTGTAGTAAAGTATTCTTTCGTGATCACAGAAGTTTTATAACTGGTCAAACAACAGATATGCAGTGTGCTGTCATTATATGCTTAACCTTTCTGGACAACCAATATTCAAAGAAGGACATTGGGTTGACTGCCCAAGTATTTCCCAGTGTTTGATTGAGCAGCAGAAACTCAAACTCTGGAATGGTTACCCAATTAGTGTCAGTATTGTTTTAGAGGAGATTGTGTTTACCACTGCCAGGCTAATTTCATTCCTAAAGTGAACTGAACAGTACATTGTTTTATTATTTTTTTGTTCGCACTGTCAATTGTGAAGCAGTCCAAACCAACCTGCTTAGGGCAGCTGCGTGCAGACAGGCTCTATGCAAAGACTCTAATTACCAGGCCCTATTAGGGTTGATCAGACTGCCTTCACTTGATGTGTTGGCACAGAAGGGAAGGCCTGGTGGAAGGGAAGAGGGGTGGCAGCTTAGATATACCATGGAGGATATGTGCAGGCCTGGTTTTATGTTTTTCCCTGACAAGCTAAATTAGAGCTGACAGACAAACTTTAGTTTGGATGATATTTGTTGCAGAAACTAACCTAACAAAAACAGAAAGTTACACTGCCGATAGGCTTGCTTTGTTATGACAAGTTGTTCCTAATAATAACAGGGAGCTGAGTTCTGTACATTAGATCTCTCTGTCTAACTTAGATATAAATTAAGTGTATTTAAAACACTCAGAGAGTGTAAGGAGGGTAAGGTGGACATTTGTGCAAGGCTACATTTTTTAAAACTTGCCACGCTTGATTATAATTCAAATAAATGCTGCCTTATTCATTAAGCCTTTGCACTATACTGTATGTCTCTGCTTGTTTTAGTTTGACTCTGTCCTCTGTCTTCAATCTTTTGCCGCATTAAACATTAAATAACTTGTATGTACGTTATAACATCATTATAAATAAATAAATAATAAATAAATATTAACTCAATAAATGTTTACCTTCCAGATGTAGGACTGAATTTTTCTCAGTCCAGAAAATACCATCAGATAAACTTCTTAAACCTTTACAGAAAGATTAAACAAGGACATCCCATTGTGGAGACTAGGGGAAAAATAAATAAATTTAGAGGACCATGGAGCTACTAATGCTGCAGGAGTAACAACTTAGTAAAGACCCAAACTCTTGGATAATATAGCTAACAGAAGAACATACACTGCACAGCAAAATTAATTATGAGCTAAAATCCTTGGAGAATTCTCAAAAGCTGTGGAATCATATTATTGTCATATCAAATTATCATTTGCTAAGTTAGTTAATTATCACCCTGTTGGCTGATCATATCCCCGTCACATCTTGAGTGTGAAATCTTGTGCAATTAGATTTATTTCCATACAGAAAATCGGAAATAATTTATGCCTGCTCTTGTGTTATGAGGAAATGCACGTCAATACAGAATTTAGTTTCAGAACATGCCATGTTTGAAAGGATCACACTGACAACATGATAATATGGCTTGTCAAAATGCCACTCACTGTGTCAGTAGTTCAAAAGCCTTTTATTAAGATTTCAAATTTCCCCTAAAATAATCATGACCAGAAAGTGTTTTATCTTGTTTACATATTTTACACAAACAAAAAGATGTGTTGCTCTTTTATAAGAAAAATGTGGTATCTGAATGACTGTCAGTTGGCAGTAATAAAATGTATACTATTTCAAATGGTGCAATTAAGACAAATAATATTTGGTTACAATTTTTCCAAAGTCGGTTTTTATAATCTTTGATTACCTCCATACTCCGCAGTCAAACTCTATACCTGTCCTACACCATTTGTTCCAGCTGTCCTCAGGTGTATCGTTTGCCTTTGACATCTGCTTCTGTGTTGCATGCTTGCGTTTACATCTTTCCACTGGCCTTGTCCCCTTGTCTAAGTAAGCCTGTCGTGAGGTTTTTCCCAGCTGTTTTACAGACGTGTATGATGGTTCTACATATTTTAGTGCTAGATTATTGCTGTTACTATACTGCTTAAACTTTATTATTATGTTTATACTGTATGTCATGTATGTATTGTCATTGCCATCGTATCCACGGTTATACTGTTCTATTTATATAATAATATTACTATTATTATGCTGCTATGATAACAATTATTGCTATTATATTACTTCTATATTACAACAAGACCACAGCAACACATCTCTAGGTCACAATATGATAGTGCCATGTGCAAAAAATAAATATATAAGTAAATAATTAAAATAACAGTTTGGCTGTCTTCATTTTTTACACGAAACCATCAAAAAACTGGGGTTAGGGATGGTACTGAGGTAAATGGTGCTAAAAGTTTTATGTGCGCACCAGAAAGTTTCCAGATACGTTTTCTTTCTCTTCTTTTTTTCTTTGGGGCCTAAAGGGACTTAGATAAATTATACTTTTGTCCCGTTTAGACAGAAAGTATTTGCGTTTAAAAAGTTGGTTATAAAATGACTTTTTAAGATATTTGTAAGATAAGGATTATATTGTTGTAAAATACCAATATCCCTGGCTATATGAACATTTTTTAAAAACACTAGAACAGCGCCTGAACTTTTGGTGAACACAGTTGACTCTCTTGAACGCACCCTAGTCCTTGACAGGAAGTGGAGTGACGCTGGCGCGGTTGTTGAAACAAATCCGGGCGTCTGGTGTTGACATGACAGCCAACCATGGAATACTGATAAGTAGACGATTTTAACTTTTTGTTTTCTTTTTGCACGCAAGGAAAAGCAACATACGCCGGACATGGAATTATCTTCGCTCATAAAGAAAATCGGTACGCTAACTATGTAGCTAAACTATTGAGTGTTTGTAACAACGAATTAACGTCACGGCGTCTTATTAACAACAATGGACGCAAACTAACTGCTATAGCCTTCTTCTGCCTTAATCTTTATAGTAACACAAGCACGTGTTTATGTCGTAACTGTGTAATGCGGCTTCTTAGCTCGTAAGTAGCGCTAATGTAGGCTAAGTTATGTCCTCTTCCTTTTCGTATATGGTAATTTACGTATCACAGAACTTGGATTAATCTTGGAATTCGTATTTTGCAGGACACTTTTTAGTAGAGATACGAGTTCGAGCGTTGAAGAACATCATATCGAAGCTGGACCATTCGTTGATTTCCGTTTCGGACATCGTCCAAGAGAAGATGTTGTTTGTGTATCTCCTGGAGTGGTTTAATTTTCCAGAGGTTCCAATGAAAGAAGAGGTCCTGGAGCTGCTTACGACTTTATCTAAGGTGTATTACGACGTCATAGGGCCAAATTTCGTAATGAACTCTTCACATTCATTTATGCTTTTAGTGTTTGTCTTCATAAGTATTGATGAATAAAGTGGGGTTATATTTTACTTTAAAAATCCTGTCTTATAATGTAATTGTGTTGTTAAATAAGCATTCTAGTGCAGCCCAGATGCTAAGAGATGTTGGGGCAGTGGATTTCCTCACCCAGCTCTCTCCTAATGTGGATCCCGGACTGCAAGCTGTCATCAGCGGAGTACTTGATCAGCTCTTCCATCTACCAGATTTTTTTCCCAGTCAAACAGTCGCATACTCCCATGGTCCACATGATGCAGCTTCAACAGGTGTTGAAATTTGAGCCGAAAGCAATATTTGTGTTTAATGAAAATGTAATTGAACATTTGAGCATTGATTGTTGTGTTCTTCAGCCCATACAGTTGTTCCACGTGAAGATTTTTATGAAAAGGGATATTTTTATAAAAGTGAGTCTGTCTGTTCCGATATACCACCACACAAGATAGCAGGTACTAGTTTGTAAACTACTGAATATAATGTACATTGTACTTATAGTGTAATAATTATCACTATACATAATGTTTCTCTTTCACTTCCTCTTTTACAGTTCACGAGTCTGTGAAATGTCTAAAATTCTCTGTGTTTCCTTGGCTGACTCTAACAAACACAGACAGACATATATTGTCATCCAATGAGAGGTAAAAGACATGTCCAACTCTGGAAGAATGCAAAATGATTAGCTCAGATTTCATGTAATTTGTGCTGTTTTTAAACAGTTCTTTAAGGAGCAACAAGATTAACCTGGTGCAGTCTACATGTGATCTTCTGCGAGACGTCATCATGCAGGACTTTCCTCCTGAGATTTTTCTACAGAGACCAAGTATTGTGAAGGTACACAGATATGTATGTGACCTCTGAAAAAGTAATACTAGAGGCAAACAATTTTACTTGGTCATTACTGGGCAGCTAGACCTGTAATGTGAATTATTACAGACCTAGAAATAAGTGAACAGTTGTTTTTGTAGCAGCAGAAATAATATGCATTAACATTTCATTAGTAATAATAGGATAAGAATTACCTGATTTTAAGTATTTATGATGATAAATGTCAAAGCTTTCATCAGTTGATGTAGAGGGGTTAGTCTGACCACCTCATAATGGATTTACGGTATGGTCATTTTGGCTACTGTCAACATAATAACCTGTCAAATAGTGCCCTTGAACAAAACACACCAATATGTAATTCAGTGTCCCTGATCCTGTACAAGGTTGTGGAGGCCTCTTGAGGTTTTTTTTTTTTTGCGTTAGAAAAGGGAGTGAACTGCTGCACTGATAGAGCTTTTTTCTCATATGTGTCTTTCTTTGTAGTGAAAGTCCTTGCAAATTAGCAGGTCAGCTTGCTTGTATAATGCCAGTTTACATTATTATAGAAACTAGTGATTACTCCATGAA